TCTGCCGCAGAGTGCTGGCGATCCTGTTGAACACATGCTGGTTTCTCAGACAGGTCACTAGCTCGGTTTGGACAGGAACGTCCGACCAGATCTGCAACAGCTCCAAGACCTCCGGCTCCGACCAGTTGCTGCCGCGTTCATACTTTTTACCGTAAACGTGAATCAGATGCATTGCAGCAGTACAAACAAAGCTACGGTGTTGTATTTATAGGATGTTCATGCATTGGTATGGCGACTGCGATTGCGTAAATAAAAGCAAATGCATTAACACGCTAAAACTCCCACTTGTGAGTTCCTGTAATCATCAATCATCTAACACGAGCACTTGTACTTTACCCGGACTGGAAGCAGATTCCTTTACTTTTTAAAGACAGTCTGGCTGTATTTCCAGCCCGTTGCTTTTGTTCTTTATTCAAACAAGTCCTGATACATCCGGGTTCACGGCACATGCGTGCTGTCCTTATTCCGGGATAAATTTGGACCGTGACAACAAAGAACGGCGCTGCGCATGCGCTGAACGTTGGGGCAAGGTTCGGGTTTGTTGCGTGTTTGCGCCATCTAGTGCTTACACTAGCGTGTTTGCGTTGCATTACATGTTTATTTTTAATTCGCTTGTTTATTTGTAAGTTAATAATAAGAGTAAAAGGGCCTGGTTAACTCCCTTCAAATACACTATTAATATTAAAATGAGGGAAATTCGTTTTAAAATACAAAAAACAATTTATCCAGTAAAATCGTCATTATCAAAGTACATTAAAAAGGAGGATATCTGTGGTTTCTGCAATGCAGATAAAGAGAGCCTTTGTCGTTTATTTTTTGAATGTAACGTTGTAAACAATTTTTGGAAGGATCTAGCCAAATATATTTTTAAAATGACAAAACTTAGTTATTATTTTACATTAAAAAATATTGGTAACACTTGTTTTCAATGGTCCATTTGAGTATCTGTTGATACTGCTCCTTCAACAGACATTTAACTGACTTTAAGACACTAAGCAACATGTCAACACCTTACAGTCTATGGTCAACACATTAAACCTAACCCCAACCTCAGTCTAACAGTCTACTTATAGTCTAATAAGGATTAATTGCAATGTAGCTTAAATTCAACAAACAGACCATCAAAATAAAGTGTGACATACTTTTTTTTATTATGAAAACAAATCCAACAAAACTCTTGAATTTATTGTTAATTGCTTTATTTTACAGGCAAAATTTGTTGAAAAGCAACAAATCTGAGATTTGTGTCAGTTATAATTTCACTTTTTTTATTCCCCTGTCAATATTTAAAAACATTGGATGTAGAAATGCTTTAAATGCTATGCTTTGTGGATTAAATTGAATTAAATTATTATTATTACCATTGTTATAATAGTTTTTATGTTTCACCTCTTATATTGTGTTGTATGTTTGTTCCTGATGGTTTATGCAATAAACAAACAAATTAAATCTTGTTTATTTGTAATAATTAAAGTGTGTTGGGATTTGTAAATGTTGCTGATCATGAGTTTTCTAAGTGGAGTCACAAGGGAGTCCATGGGGATTTTTCAATAATTAATATATTAATAAGTTTTTACAATGATCAGAAAATCACTCAATATCGAAAATGTACATTTGATTCAAATGAATTATACAATTTAACTAAAGGTGAATACATACATTTGTAAATATCACGTAAATAAATACAGGACTATAGTGAGTAGAAAAATCTAATAACAATCTATCAAGAATAAATATTTATGATAGTAACATCTAAAAAAATTTGCCCTGCATTACATAATAAATGAACATATACGTGTGTTTTTATTATTTAAGATATGTGCTTTTTTAAAAATGTATTTTATTTTCATTAGCCAAAAAGGCTAAAGTGCAATGATGCTGGTCCCAATTACCCAATGAGGGCTAAACAAGTTGGAAAGTTAAATAAAGAACTCATAGTTCATATTTGTTAGGATAAGCTTCAGTCTTAAAACAGAAAACTTTTCTTTCATTTCATTTACTTTGTTAAAGGTCACAATTGTGTAACATATTTGCTTTATTTGACTTTTATCTTATTTTGTAAAGTTGAAGTCAGATTTATTAACCCCCCTGAATTATTAGCCCCTCTGTTTATTTTTCCAATTCCTGTTTAATGGAGAGAAGACTTCTTCAACACATTTGTAAGCATAACAGTTTTAATAACTCATCTCTAATAACTGACTTATTTTATCTTTGCCATGATGACAGTAAATAATATTTGACTAGATATTTTTCAAGACACTTCTATACAGCTTAAAGCGACATTTAAAGGCTTAACTAGGTTAATTAGGTTAACTAGGCAGGACAGGGTAATTAGGCAAGTTATTGTATAACGATGGTTTGTTTTGTAGACTATCGAAAAAAAATTGCTTAAAGGGGCTTATAATTTTGACTGGTGGTTAAAAAATTAAAAACTGCTTTTATTCTAGCCGAAATAAAACAAAAATAATTTCTCCAGAGGAAAAAATATTATCAAACATACTGTGAAAATTTCCTCGCCCTATTAAACATAATTTGGAAAATATTTAAAAAAGAAGAAAAAAAATCAAAAAGGGGGGCTAATAATTCTGACTTCAACTGTATATATTAATAATTACTTATTTTCAGGTACAATGTCTGTGCATTTGTTTTTTGTAGTCTATAGTTTTCCAACAAACAAGGAAACAAAAATAAATTAGAAATAAATAATAAAAATATGGGAGCTCCAGGGACTTACAAAATCAGCCTATAGCCAGAGTAAAGCTTGGTCAGCACAGATAGAAACCTTAAGGAAAATTTTGTTTTCATTTGTGACCAGCATGCTGCTGCTTTGAGAATACAAACAGTGGCATAACTGTTCATCTAATTTATGTCCGTCAAAGCAAAAACTCCACTGATCATATTCAACCCTCACTAGGGGATCCAACTGTAATCTAATTCATACGCAGCGATAAATGAAAATTATTGCATTATTTTCTTGTCCATCTTTATGTATAGTCACCATTTATTCTCAATCTGTGGCAAAAAAAGTATATAACATTCTGTATTATATTTAACACAAATGATGGCAAAATGTTGACTGTCAAAATGTCATTTCAATTAATTTTGTAATTTAAAGAACTACACAGTGCCACTAAGTAGCATTGAATATGTTTGCACATATTCCTGGCACAATATTTGATTGAGGTTTTTGAGGTAAAATGTTTATTTTGAACAGCTCAATCAAAATAGTATCTTATAAAATTATGTACCACAGTGTAAACAGCAAGAATCAGTCCAAAGCACTTGAAAAATGTCGATAAAATATAAAAAAGCCTTTATTGACATTGCTATTCCTTAAAACTGTGCCTACATGTTTCAGCAAACAACTGCCTTCATCAGGGTAACAGTGGTCAGGTGCATCTGGAGTTTCTTATGAATGCTATGGTCTCAACATGACTCATCAATATCTAAACAATACTAAGATAATATATTGAACACAAGGTCAACTCAACAATCATCATTAAATCAGCATTGAGAGAGGGAGAAAGAAACACCTAATGGAAAAAAAAGAAAAAGAAAAAAGATGATGAGTGTTATGTAACATATTTCTCAAATAATACAACATGCTTATTACCCAAAGAACACCACATCACATTATTTAAGCTACCCCTGAGCACTTTTTGTGTGATCTTGGATTTATACTATAGTACTTTCTACAAAGATTTAGTTTTGCTCAATATTTTGAGGAACGTAAACAAAAACAACGGTCCCAACATCTTTCCTAATTTACCTTTTTAATTTCTACAGCTTTCGAGAATCCAAAAAGTGCCACATATTGATGATTAATGTTATGATAGCTCTTTTAACATGAAGTTATGAGTGAATTGCTTCTTGTTACAGTTATCAAATAGTTTGATAACAAGCAAGAAAATGTTCATGGGCCAATGACATGACCACAGTGAAATAGTCTGTAGGCCTATTGTGAGTATCAGGGGCGGACTTAACCAGTAAGCGAGGTAGGGCCACTGGAAAATAGGGGTCCCCGACCAATGCCAAGAAGCCTATTAATTATCCTAAAGCTATTTTGTATTTTTTTTTCATCAAATGTAGTACAATCTGACTATAATCATTAAGATTGTAACATTATTACTTCTTTTCTAAACTAGGGGGCCCCTTGAATAGTAGAACGTTTCTTCAGAACTGCATGCAAATATTAAAATCTAATCACATATGGACAATTAACTGTACATAGTTTTTGAGCTAGCTTTATATTGGCAAATATATTGCATTTTATTTTATAAATTAAGAAGGTTCCACTTAATATATATTTTAAACGTAGTAAATATATTTCTTTTTAAAAAAAGAAAAAAAGAATCTAGAATGAAAGCAAACATCTAGAGAAAGAGAAAGAGAGTGTTTTGAGTTTCAATGCTAGGGCCCCATACCTGGAGGGCCTCTAAATCCCCAAGTCTGCCCCTGGTGAGTATCTAACCTAGTATTCGAAGTATAAAAGTCAGTGTCTTTGAGGTTTAATTGTTGATATTTGAAATGTGGAAATGTTAATCTAAGACGCAGTCTAATATTTTTTTTATTTATTTAAACTTATTTTGTCCTTGTTTTCCAGTGATGGGTTACAGCTGGAAAGGCATCTGCTGTGTAAAACATATGCTGGATAAGTTAGAGATTCATTCCTCTGTGGCGACTCCTGATTAACAAAAGGACTAAGCCGAAAAGAAAATGAATGAATTCATTAATTTTGTCCTTGTCTCAATACGTTATACAAAAATATATATGTTATGCTGTGTGTAAGCCTTTCTTCAGAACATTTATTGACTATTAAATAACTATTAAATAACCAGATTTTTCTAACAAAAAAGCTGTATTTGTTCTTGTCATAAATCTACTCTCATTCTCATTCATTTGATGATATTATTAAAAAAATGACTGAATCCAGCAGATGGAGCCAGCGAATCGCACACCCTAAATACACACAAAGCTGACGTACTTCCTGGGAATTGTAGGCCATTTGTGATTACCAGGGATTTGTGTACGGATGTATTACGGAGCCCGTTATGTCTATACAGAACAATAAAACTGAGGAGACCGATGACAAGTGACACCACAGAGGTTTTAATTTTATAACAGTTCGATAAGAAATATACCACACAGACGGGCAGATACGAGATTTATACATAATAAAAAATAAAGGACTACAGGAAGACGCGCGCGCTGTTGAAAGTTTCATCGATCTGCGCGCGCTCGCCGAGAGATGCTGAGTTGAGTTCGCGGGGTCTCGCGGAAGGGCGCGAATCCTCCGTAACGGTTTCTCGGTGGATGTACTTTTTATTTTGTGTCGTGAGCGGAGTTCAGTCCGGTGCTGTTGTCTGAAATGTGAGCCCGTTACCGGATTCCGAGGCTGTGCAAAGCGCAATGACAGCTCTAGGAGGGGTCAGCGGTCCCATTTCTGAGGTAAATGACAGTTCGTTTGTTTGTTTGTCGTTGTTCTGTGTAAACTGAGGTGAAGTTCAAGGTAAGAAAGTTTATATTAGCTAAATATATGTGTGGTCATCTTTTAAATTTTAACACAAATTAACGAAAGCAATTTTATACAATTTACTCAATTTTGGACAGTTTTGTGTAAGATATTATTGTGTTTGCCAGTTTATAAACAAAGTGACTGTCGAGTTTAGTTTTTTTATGCCGACATTTTGTTTATTTTGTTTTTAGCAATGATGTATGTGTTGTTTTGTAATATCGAAAAGCTAAATAGGACATTTATTTCAGAAATAGAAATTATTTAATCATGTGCACCTTTAAAATATATTAACAAATATGTTTTTATTCATTTAACGTTAACGTTAAGTATCGTTAACACACGAAAGGTGATATTTGACAAAAGGACAGATTTCACTTTCAATGAACCTACAACTAAAATGAACGGTAATGAGGCTGTCTTTCTCCTTTTGTCTTAAACGACAAACATCACGCACAATATTTTCAGTATTTATATTTTTTCTAAACTGACTCCACATCATCTGAAGGCTTTATTATCGTATTGCGCGCCTAGTGTTTCCAGCATAATATATTTATTTCAGTTGTTCGCTGTGATTTACGGTGCACGTGAGCACCTCTACCCCGTCAACCAGATGAAAATTGATAGTGTTGAGTGCAATAAATGTATTCACAGCAAGAATAAAGACACCATTATGATATTCTTTGTCTCTTAGTACTGTAGATCAGATGATGGTTATTATTATCAACCAATATTTTTATGCATAACAAAAAGTATCCTTTGACCTTTGTCTTGAAAGGTTAATATTGATGGCAGGTTTGATTATGAAACCTGGATATGTTCTCTGAACAGGCAGAGTGGTCATTTAATGTTGCCTTCCTGATGAGAGAGAGAGAGAGAGAGGGAGGAAAAAAGGTAGAGCTTAACAGTGTATATGTGCGTGCACTGTCTGTCCCTGTCTAATGAGTGACTAAGCACTTCAGTTCCTGCCCCTACCAAGCCATCATGGATCATTAAAGCTTTAGTAGTTGTAGTTGTGTTTGATGAGCAGTTATTAAGGCATAGTAATTACTGTTCTTTCTTCCCCAGAGAGCACGCTATAAAAATTTGGCCCTCCTATCCAGCATACAGTAGCATCGCCCAGGATATCGCCTCTTGCGAGCATGCAATCTGTTAGATCCTCGGAGACAGCAAGATAATCTTACTTTACATTTGATTCGGGCCCTAACGAGTGCTCGAGTCATTAAATATGAAAAATAAGTCATTTGAAGTGTTGAATGAAGATTGATGACCCGACCTCTAAAAAGATCCAGAAGTTCTGTGTGACTGACTTCACAGTAATTTGAATGTCAGTCTGGATTCTGTTCCTGAAACATCAGGGATTTGTGATTTACTGGAAATGCACTCTGTAATTTTCGGTTCTAGGAATGCTGTTGATAACCAATTATTTTGATTGTTTCTGGTCAATGTTGCGGTTGCAACACAATTACCCGAATTCCCTCTGGCCTGGTTCCACATTCTGCTTGTAAGCAGACGACCACTTAGTTACGAAACGAAAAGCAACACAAAGTCCTTATCAGACCTAATGAAGACGAAAAGGCCATATACCTACTGCATCTAAATTCAGTACTCACTTCACCTATATAATGCTTAATCCTGTTCAATAATTTACCTACAAATCCATTCCACAACCTAAATAAGCTGAAAAAAATTGATGTAGCGACAACTGCATTTATAAATGTTTTAGTGTACAAAACCAAACTTGTTAATTACATATTTAAACATGCATCTCTTGCAAGGAAGCAAGCTTCATTTTGACTGATTAGCATTGCCAGAACTATCTAAGAAACCATAAATAAAAACAAGCTCATTATTAATAAAATCTCAAATGCTTCATCCTATGAATGATTGGTTCATATTCAAAACACAGCCATGAAAATCATAGGAATAAAACAATACGAACCCATACAGACTCTATATGAACAGGCGGTCATGAGAAGAGCAATAAATATTAGTGCTGATTCCAAACATCCTCATTTTCAGTGAATATCAGTTGTTACCATCAGGAAAAAGACGGTCAATGTGTAAAAGCAATAGATTGAAGCTTTCATTTGTTCCTACCTCGATAAAACAGTTGAACTCTACCAAGAACAATGCACCTGTATAGCACCTGACTGTGTTCTGTGCTTTATATATTTCATATTTATATATTAATAATGATCTTATTCTGTAAACAATGTATGTTCTTAATTGTTTGTTCTTAATTGTTTTATTTATTTTATTGTCTGCTTAGAGCAACGTTGTATCACCTTTTTGCCAAAATGTCCCCTCGAGGACAAATAAAGTTTATCTTAAGTCCTATCCTAATTAAGCCACCAAAATATAACAACCCACACCTGCCTATAATATTAACTCAGGGTATCTGCGGGGTCTTAAAAAGTCTTAAAATGTCTTAAATCTCAAATGCTAAATTTTAGGCCTTAAAAAGTCTTAAATCTACTGAAATATTGTGTTGTAGGTAAATCTTCAATTGAGCTATTTCAAATATGTCACTTCCATAATGGAGAGATATCACGTCCATAACAAAGCTTTTCCCTCAAAAATGCAAAAATGTCAAATGAAATAGTTAATGATTTTTGTTTTACAGTGAGCTAACTCTTCCTTTTGGATAGCATTGTTGGAATTGCTCTTAAATGAATCGTGTTTTTGACTCTCAAATTGCTGTTGACTTGGATTCATGAAACATTATAAATCTTTGAAGGTCTTCTGGCTAAGAAAATGTCACCTAAATTTGGGATGACTTCAGGGTTTGTATTAGATTGGTAATTTATTTTAATTTAATAGTTGATTAATTTTGGGTGAATTGTATCTTTAAAGGATTAGCTCACCCCAAAGTGAAAAAGCTGTCTGTAATTACTTTACTCTCATGTCATTTCAATCCATTGTAGGCATGGGGCGGTGTAAGATTCTGACAGTATGATAACCTTGGATAAAAATATCACGGGTTCACGGAATTGTGATTACTGCTCTAAAATATGTTCTTTTAAAATTGGATAATTTGGATTAAAAATAGCAATTTTTTCCCAATACAACACAATATATTTTATTTTAAGAAACATTTAAAATATTTGGAACAGTAAAAATGTCACGCTAAATAATGAAAATGAATGATTTACTTCTGTCTTCATTAGTTTAAAAAACACAGATTTTTTTTTTTTTTTTTTTTTTTTTTTTTTACTAGTTGAAAAGTTATCTTTGCATATCTTTTATTTCTTTGGATATAAATTAAGCCTCTGCACTGTTCAGCTCTATAGCACGCTTGGATGTTGATTTATAAGCAATTTGTTTTTCGGATGATTGCTGGCCAGCAAAGACTGACCAGTAGCTTTAGATGTGGACATACTGTTGTTTGCCCTAAAACAACGGTTGTAACAAAACATTAAGAGATTAAACTTATATATAAGCTAACAGTAAAACAGAAAACATTAGCGGTTTTAATACCTTGACTTTTCCAAACCGAGGTAAACATTGAAATCGGTTATCGTCCCATGCCTAATCCACTGAGACATTTATTAATCTTTGTAACATAAATTAAGATATTTTGGATGAAAAGCGAGAGCTCCCTCAACCTCAATAGAGAGCAATGCTCACAAAACAGTCAGAAAAGGAACCAAAGACATTGTCAAAACATTCATTGTGACTTCCGTGGTTCAACTGTAATACAAAGTTCCTTTTCTGGACTTCAAACATCTTGCGACCATTGCTTAAGTGTGATGTCACGCAAAGTGGCTTTCGGGTCCAATCTCTGTATCAAACTGTATGGTCGAGACTCAACAAATGGTTATATTAAATGTTTACAAAGCCATGTCATACTTTCGAAAATCATGATCGCAATAAATATATCCATGCCTAATATCCAATGGCCAGAAATTGATTCATGTTTTTAGAAATTGTTAAAATACTGTCGTGTGCACCATGATTTTATATAACATCTACTTTAATGTATGATATGGCTATTTTCTCAATTCAGATGAGTAGGGCCTTGGACCTGGAAACAGTATTCTTTACATCACGAGTCACGACTTAACAAGCGGATATAGGATGTGGGAGCTCTCAGATTTCATCTAAAATATGTTCATTCATTTTCTCATGTTTTCAGGGAATTAGAATGACAAAAGTGTGAGGATTAATTACTAATTTAAGTTTCACTTTTGGGTGAACTTATCCTTTAAGCTAAGAAAAGTGCTTAATAAGCACCACTTATAATAAGTGGACATGGCAACATTTCAAAAGTACATTTAGAAATAACATTTTGGTCAACAATAGGGGATACCCACAGTATGTCAGGACATCGCAATGGTTTTTACAGTGTCAGTTATTACAAAGTCATGTTGTTTACACTGAATTAGGACTGCTCAACATACTGTATCATTTTAGCATCAATATCACAATGTGCTTATCCCCAATGTCGAATAAGGATTATGGTTGACCATAAACAACAGTTCTGAACACGTGTCATTTGTGGATTAAATTAAAGGTTTAACCATAATTGAGAGAAAGTTTATCATCACACCTGTGACTGCGGAATCATTTCAAGCAAGATTGTCGCTTTAACAAAGATTATTTAATTGTAATTATTTTTTTATACTTTGATTTCTAGACCACAATGTGATTTTATATTGAATTATTGAATATTTTTACCTGAAAAATATTAGACTCCGCTAAAATCCACAAAGCACTGTTTTAACTTTGTTTTATTGGATTCATCTGGGCTTGTTATTTGTGTATTTTATTTTACGCAGATGCACTCTCCTACAAAATAATTTCATTCAATCTAAAATTATAAACAATTTCCAAATATCTGTTTAAATTGTATTCATATATATCGGAGAAAGAAAAACATACTGCAATGTCAATTTTATCCAATATTGTGCAGCACTACACTGAATAATAATTTAATTTAGAGAAATCACTCTTGTATTAAAATGCAATTGTTACACCTGAAACCTTACAAAGGTGAGCCCCGTTTGTATGTCAGAACAGCAACTGACTTGGAATCAACAGCCTTTCTGTCACATCACATCTAACATGTGTTGCGCTCTAAAGGTGAGCCCTTCATTACCTCCAACGTTTATCTATTAGAAGAAGCTTTCACAAGTGGCTGCCTTATTAAATTAGTCTTGTCGAGACAGGCGAAGATTGAAAATAGGGGACGGTTAACCTGAATGGCAGCTATTTGACAATGCTGAAAATGGCTTACGCTTAAGAGTGCTAAAGGCGGCAAATCATTTTCCAAGAACTGACCTCTTTTCTATTGCCTGCCTTGTATCTGTCTTAGCTGCTAATAGGCTGACTCCTCTTAAATGAACTTAATTAAATCTATTAACTGGTTAAAACAATTGATTGGGTTTAGAAATTACGGCCATTGCTTTTGCAAATACTGTAAAACGTGCAGGCTACAGTATCTCTCACTCTCTCTAACTCGCTTCCTTTCTTTCTTTCTCTCATTTTCTGTGCTTGCGGAGGTGTGACATTCACAGGTTCCATCAGTAAGACACACATGGTTTTCTCCTCTTTCCTCTCCAGCTCACTGCACTGTGCCAGGCCTTAATGAGCTCTGTAATGCAGATTTTAGACGTGACGATTTGTTTGTTTTTTCAGTAGGCCTTTTACCAAGATCCCCTCTTCTTCCTATCAGGAGCCGCTATTTAAATGCTAAACTCAGCATTGTAGCCGTCATACTCCGAGGAATAGTTTTCCTAATGACAT